ACAACGTTACATAGAAAAACTCGTTAATAATTTTTGTTGCTATAAATTAGCTAAACACAATGTGAAACTGATGTTTCCATTACAAAGTGGGTTTGTTCATTTCTCTATATGCATACATACATTACATACATATGGACATTTGCTCATACATATTGTAATATGTTGTTTTTAACTACATAAATTCATACATATTTGTTTGTTAAATGCACGAACATACATACATAGTACGTACATGTGTCTAAATGAATTTATCTGTTTAGAGCGCGCAATTACTCTTTAATTAATTGTATGTATGTATATATGTATGTGTATAATTTTTCATGTGAAAAACTAATTTTTCCGCAAAATTAATGCTTACGAAAAACGCTTCAGCGTTACAAATCGACAATTTCATATACATACACATACATATATAATTATATATTATACGATGGGATTAACAAAAGTTCGATTACTCGGTGACTTTCAATTTGTTTTTATTAAATCTAAAAATACCAAATCCTTTGCAATTACTTTTCTTCTTTCCAATTTTGTAACGATCGCCTAAAATGGAGAGAGAGTAAACTCACGATAGCTGAGTATAGGTCAGACCAAATTCCACCAGCAACGCAAACAGAAATTCGCCTTGCGATTCTCTTTGGGTTTCGACGTAATTTACAACAAATACAAATATTCAGTGAATTCCAAATTGCCTATTGAACGATTGTGCCGTCTTTAAAGACTATTACTAAATGGTTCCGAAGATTCCAGATCGGTAATTTTTCCGCAGAAGACGAGCCCCGAGCAGATCAATCAAAATCTTCCGCTGATGACGTTAAGTCCAAAATGGACGAAGACCCACGATTGACATAAGAAATAATTGCCAATGAATTGGGCTTGGATGCCATGGCTGCATTGCGAATATTAAGTAATCATCTGGGATACAGGTATAAATTTGCACGATAGGTACCACGAATTTTAAATGAGATCCTAAAAGAGTTTTGAGTGCATTTTGCTCAAGTTTCCCTAAACAAATTCGCAAATGATCAGTCTAGCAACTTTAGTAAAGTCGTTGCTGGTGGCGAATCTTGGTTCTATAAGTACCATTCTCCTGAAATCAAACAGCAGTCTATGGTATGGAGCCGAACAGGAGCAAACCCACCAGTAAAATTTAAAGAATAAATATCAGCAGCAAAAAAAAGGGTCAGACGGTAACTGAAAAATGATACACCGAAACGTGCTTGCCACAAGTTTTTAAAAAATTATTGAAAAACAGGGAAAAAGAGGATTTGTGGCGCTAGTTTCCCCATCAAGACAACGCGCCGACATCCCACACTGCTAAATTAACGAGTTATTTTATTGCGATCTATGGGTTCGAAGAATTACGTCCAGCACCATATTCCCCGGATATAGCACCTTCTAGTTTCTGGTTATTTTCAAAAATTAAAAATATTTAAAAGGAAAGGTCTTTAATAACAACGAGGAGCTAATTAATGCGGTTAATGCTGAATTTGATAAGTTTAAAAAGCAAAATTTCGAGGACTGTTTTCAGCAGTGGATCTGTAGGCTTAAGAAATGCATTTAAATGGCGATTATGTAGAGAAGATAAAAAAGGACAGAGATTACAAAGAAAACAAAAATAATTTTTGTTTTGCTTTTTTCTGGTCACCTAAACGAACTTTTGTCAATCTCCTCGTGTATATGTATGTGTATGAGTTTGTGTACAACAATCCAAGCAACCGAAAAATTCCCATTTTCAAAACGTGATTGATTGAATCACTTTTAAATAGCAAAACTTGTGACACGTGTTTATTAATCGTGGCTATCGGTATATGTATGTACAAATATATTATATTTATGTACATATGTATACATCAGCACATTTATATGGCGCTATGAATTTAATTGTTTCAAAATCATGACACTAATTTATTAATTAATTAGTTCAGTATGGTAAAGAAGTCAAGTCTTATTGTCTTACCTGACCAATTTTCCTTCTCTAATTCGTGGTACTCATGTCAATGTTTTCCTATAAAATGGACGGATCTGCAATATACTCTAAGTCGCCACCGAATGGCCATGAAAGAATTCATTAAACATTTTCAGACAATGCAATGCATTCATTTTCGAAAAAAGATAAGGTTCAATAAGCCCCCTGGACCATTAACCGCACCAAGCAGATACACGTTGGGGATGGCGCGGCTTTTCAACCATAAATCTTGGGTTCTCAGAACCCTAAGATGGGATAGTTTTGCTTATTGACGTAGCCATCGCGGTGGATGAGGCCATTCATGAGTCAAAATGATTTTCCGATAAAATTTTTATAGTGAATTTTAATAATTCCAGTGCATTGTTGAAGCGTGTTTTGTTTAATTTTTACTACTGGCGTGGTTTTCATTTGTCAAATGTCAAAAAATTACAGCTGTCAAAGTGACAAGTGGCTATTCAAAATAACAACTCTTATATTATTTATTGTGAATCGAATTAGAAGCTCTCATTTGAGTATTTTTATATTTTTATTGGAGTTGGTTTCTACAAACTTTGTGACTTAAGGGAATTCTTAAACTTAAAATGTCGGAGTGTCTCCATTGAAGCTCCCTCTTTTTTTTTGCCGTGACCGACCGCAGACTTCACGCGGGTTAGATATCCCATCTTGCACCAGGGTGTGCGACGTGAAGACAAGCTTAAGAATTTGATAAAGCACTTCGAGTGTAACTGCATACCCAGAAAATTTTGTATGGATGGACGAAAATAATTCAGCTCTGATAGTATTCGACTCAGGACCCGGTGGTGGAAGCGATTAAGAGCTGCACTCCTTAAGAAGGATCAGATAGTAAAGTATCAATATCAGATGTTCTCTTGGTGTTTCTATTATTCATCTAACAGCTAACAGCTAAATGGAAAACCACTAGCACTGAAGAAAATATACTCGCACATATAAATATTTTGAATGCAAAACTGGTGCTTTTTGTTGTGATAGCGAAAAAACAATTACGGAATTTTTTTTTCGCCTTCGGTTACTTATGTTTACGAATGAGGAGAAGATAAATACCGATGCTTGTCAGATTACCTGATGTTTTCCAGTTCTGAAAACCACACAGTGCCTCTCAAACTGTTGATGTTATTTTCGGGGGAATATTGCTGAAGTGGCAATCCTTGGCCGGATAAATATCCGAATCTTTCCGGTACAAAGACTCGGCTGTCGCGGGCATTATTAGATTTAAGTTGCCTCTTACGACAATCATGTCTTACCATGGCAAAATTCTTGAGCCCCTAACACACAAGGGTCTCTCTCTCTATATATATATATATATATCTATCTATCTATTGGACAAACGAATTTTCACTTTCTTCGAGGTTCGGACTATAAAAGGGATGCATAAGAACCTCCCCAACAAACTCTCGAAGCGCCACTATCAATGTATGTGATCTGAGGTTGTCATGATGAAACACAATTACACTCCTTTTAGCCATATCTAGGCGCTTCTCAAAAATGCTTCCTTCAGACGTTCCAATCGTTGACAGTATAGTTCGGAGTTAAGAGTTTGGACATAATAGATGATTCCTTGCCGATTACACCAAACATGTAACAAACCCTGCCAGGTCGTCTATTCTGGATTGGAGACCGTTGGTGCCGGTTTTTAGCTTGTCGATCACTACCGTTTCCTTTTGACGTTGCTGTAAGTGATCTACTTTTCATAACCAGTCACCATCCGCTCAAGAAATGGTTCGCTTTTGCTACGATTCAGCATACATACACATACATCGAGTGTGTCTGTGTATGCAGGCTCTTTCAAGCGGTTCCAAACTGTTTTCTGTGCTATATTTAGCTCCCGTGCAATTGAAACTTCTAAGCACTGACTCGACGACTTCAATTTTTTATCGACATTTTTGAGAATTGACCTTCCACTGGAACGAAATCAACGAAACTAAATTGATTCATCATTGACAGGACCATGAATGCAATTAACATTTTCAGCTGCCTAACTTGCGTTTTCATTTTTAGAGTTATCAAAACTTCTCTCATGTCATTTTTAGTGTAAAATATCATCCTTCCACTCCATTCAGCGCAACCCAATCGTTTTATAGAACGCGAGGCAATGATCACTAAAGCCATCTATTGCAAAAATAATCATTTTCCTTTCTCGTCCTTTAAGAATGTCAACCCCTCCGAGTGTACTTCTGACATGAAAATCACAATCACTCATAAAAAATATCCATAGGCCGTTCGGAAGCGACTTAGAATAAACTCTAGATCCCTACATTTGTTGCAAAACATCAAAACTCATACCGCAAATTGGACAATGAGTTCGGCCGGAACATTAAGCCAAGGAAACTTTGCTGGCAACTTATAAAGCAATTGGCCGGCCGGTCGTAAGGCGCCGAGGACAAACGAGGCGCAGATAAAGAAACTACAGGCTTGCCAGAACACCGCCCTCAGGACGGCGATAGGAAACTTCCTGATGTCGCTGGAGCATCACTTGCACAGCGAAACAGCTATGCTACGAGTTAAGGAGCATAATGCTTTGCTGTGCAAGCAGTCCAATAGGCAGCTAATAGAAGTTGAACCTCCACCTAGACACATCAGAAAGGGAGTACTAGATCTATTAGATGGCCTCGGTGACTTAGATTAATCAAACCTGAATCTAAGCGAGGGGTTAGCGAACCGCTACAACAACAACAACGAGAACAATAAGCTCTTGACATTTGGCATAAATCATTTATGTTAACTATGACTAATGCGATTAATACTGATAAGCCCATGTACAAGTGTATGTAAGATAAGATCTACCATTTACTGTTATTTTCCAATTGTTATCTCTGCTTTAAACGCCCACAAAAAGAGTGGGTTTTCGTTATCAATACTTCGAATTTAAAGATTAACGTCATTTACCGGCGATTACTTAATTAACTTGAGCACATTATCATTATTATATAATTTGCTATTTATATACTTACTTATATATATATGTACATACAACTAATTTCCACTCCACTCCTCCTTCACCACAAAATTTCAGCTCACAACAACACAACGGTGTGAGACGTCAAAGTCATGTTCAAAATTAATACAAAAACCGATGCCATTGCAATGCAGAGGCAGGCGAAGACGACACCACTCGTCGAGGATTATGAGATCTCCAATAAAGTGCTCGGTCTCGGCATCAATGGAAAGGTGGTGCAATGTGCCAATCGCAAAACCAAACAAAAGTATGCTTTAAAAGTACTGTTAGACAATCCAAAGGCACGACGAGAAGTGGATCTGCATTGGCGTGCGAGCGGCTGTCGACACATTGTCAATATAATTGATGTCTACGAGAATACATATGGCGGAAATAAATGTCTGCTGGTCGTAATGGAGTGGTGAGTGGCATTTTGAAAAATATTGAAAAAAATGCATAAAAATAATATTTACTTGCTATTTTTGGTCTATTTGATTTTCCTTATTTAGCATGGAAGGCGGTGAACTGTTTCAGCGTATACAAGGCAATGCGGATGGGAACTTTTCAGAGCGTGGTAAGTTGCTATATACACGTATATACATATGTATGTGTATATGAAATTATCTTATCATAATTTAATATTTATTATTTAAATGTCATATGTACATTTTGTTTGCTTAGAGGCCGCACAGATCATGCATGAAATCTGCATTGCCGTACATTACCTGCATAGTCGAGATATTGCGCATCGCGACTTAAAGCCCGAGAACCTGCTGTATACCAGTAATGATAAGAATGCGACATTGAAATTGACCGATTTCGGTTTTGCCAAGGAGACGCTTGTTAAGGACACACTACAGACGCCTTGCTATACGCCATATTATGTTGGTGAGTGTGTGTGTGTGATTTGTTTATTTATTGGTTTGGAAATATTTTTAAGTAATTCGTCACTTTGATCTCAAATTTAGCACAGAACATTTTTATATCGTAATTTTAATTATTTAGGTGAATCATGCACGTAGGTAGTATTCAAGCTGGTTCTTTCTGTTCTTTGTTGTGTTTTAAAAGACATTACTTTTATATAAAAAATATTTGAATTTACTAAGAATTTTGTTGCATTACTGGCATTCCAGCTTGTTGCATGTTGTATGTATATTTGCCATGCGGGGACGAAGTCTTTAAATATTAGGTTAAGTAAAAAGTTCGTTCGGATTTTTATACATTTTTTTTTCTTCAAAATATGATAACTTTGTTTAAATTTGTCCGATTCAACTCAAATATGCGCTGTTTTGTTCGTAAACTTTTTGCCAACGAGATGCCAATTATCATTATACCCCTCTCATAGAAGGCTGCGTGCTTATTGGCAAAAACTCGGAGAGCCAATTTTCACAAGCCTCTCTTAAGGCCAACTTCTCACCATTAAGCGCGTTCGCCATGGAGAGGAAAAGATGGTAATCACTTGGTGCCAGATCCGGACTATAAGGTGGATGCATTAGGACCTCCCATCCAAGCTCCTGGAGCTTCTGGCGCATCACCAAAGACGTATGTGGCCTGGCGTAGTCCTGATGGAATACACTTCGGCTTCTGTTGATCAAAAAACGTCTCTTCTGGATGAGTGCTGCCTTCAAGCGGTCCAATTGTTGGCAGTAGAGGGCCCAATTGATCGTTTGGTCATAGGGTAGCAGCTGGTAGTAGATGATTCCTTGCCAATCCCACCAAACACAGAGCAAAACCTGGTGCAGCTGTTTGACATCGAAATTACCGGAACGGAACCTAGCAAACTACTTTTGTGCTACACGTTCGCTTACAGTATCGGGCACATAAACTAAATAATTTTTTTCAGCCGCTTTGGTTGCTTTTTCGCCTTGATCGAAGAAAAATTGTAAAATATAGCACATTTTCTCTTTGCTGGTGTACATCTTTGACGCACGCTCAAACAAAACTGAACCAACCAATCACAAAACTGTTAGAGAAGCTTTCTTAGTAAGAAATGTCATCTTTCTAACGCCATCTAGCGGAACCCAATCGGACTTATACAACGCGAGATACAGATATATAACGTCATCTATTGGACAAATAATGGGTTTTCTTTTACTACACCAATATGATTCTTATAGCAAGATCGGCCCCAAGAAAAAAATTATCCATGCACTGCCATAGCTTTATTCTTCTTCTTCTTGTTCTTCAATTTCTTCTTATTATTATTTTTCCTCTTCTTCAGTTGCGCAGACACCGCATACGCGATTATGGCCGACTTAGCAACATTGCGCCATTCATTTCTTCTTTTTCAGCTGTTTGGCGCTAATTGGAGACACCAAGTTTAGCCAGGTCCTTCCCAACCTGGTTTTCCAGCGAATTAGGAACCAGCAGTGATGTGGACCGAATGGCTAAGAATACTCCAGCTTTGAAAGTATTTGATGCAACACCCGCCGGTGGAAGTAGAAGAAAGGATGGAGGAACCAGCAGTGATGTGGACCGAATGGCTAAGAATACTCCAGCTTTGAAAGTATTTGATGCAACACCCGCCGGTGGAAGTAGAAGAAAGGATGGAGGCATTTCCTTTCTTCTACTTCCACCGGCGGGTGTTGCATCAAATACTTTCAAAGCTGGAGTATTCTTAGCCATTCGGTCCACATCACTGCTGGTTCCTAATTCGCTGAACTATATCTATATCATCGTATATCTCATACAGCTCATCATTCTAACGGCCCTACCAACTCGTAGAGGACCGTAAATCTTACGAAAACCACTTCTCTAGAGAGTACCTTACGCCGACTCATCAGATGTTGCCATCGTCCGGTCCTCCGCACCATATAGCAAGACGGAAATGGTGAGCGACTTGTAGGGTTTGGTTTTTGTGCGTTGGACTTCCCAGGCTGTCATTATGCTTGGTATTAAAACTGGTTCCTAGATAGACGAAGTTATCTACGACTTCAAAGTTATGACTGTCAACAGTAACGTGGAATCACAATGGCGGATGCGATTGCTGTTTGTTTATTGACAGGAGATATTTCGTCTTGCCCTCGTCCACTACCAGACACATTCGCTTCGCTTATTTATCCGCTTTGGAGTAAACAGAACTCTCGGTGCGGCTGTTTAGGCCACTCTTTTAGAAGATTGTATCTTCTATATTCTGTTCTGCAGCTCGTAATATTTTCTTCAGCAATAGGTTAACAAAGTCACACAATAATTAGTCCCCTTGTGTGAAACCTCGTTTGGCACCGAACTGCTTGGGGAGGTCCTTCCCAACTCTGACCGCGCTCTTGGTGTTATCTAGCGTCAGCTTACACAGCCGTATAAGTTTTCCGGGGTTTCCAAATTCAGACATAGCGGAGTGGAGGCTGCTCTTTTTTGTGGCTGCATTAAAATCGACGAAGATGTGGTGTGTAGATCCTCTGTTCACTGGTCTTTTCCAAGTTTGGCTTATGATGAATATCTGGTCAATGGTTGACTTACCAGGTATAAAGCCACACTGATAAGGTCCAATCAGTTTGTTGACGGTGAACTTTAGTCTTTCACGCAATGCGCTCTTCAGGACTTTATAAGCGATATTAAAAATGCTTATCTCACGATAAGAGGCACAGACTGTGAGGTCCCCTTTTTTAATCACTGAGGCGAGTACTTAACATCCTCTTGGGGTATTTGATACAGAGGAAGTCGTCTGTACCGCCTAAACTAAAATAGTCCCTCCAAGACCATTAAGAAGCGGGAAAAATTAGTAAAAAGCTTATTACTATTTCTTTCCGAGTAGTCAGGTCGCGATTCTTGATGGTGCCAAATATGAGAATATAAAAGTCTAATTTTCTTCGGTAAGAAATCACAGTTTTTTGATTACTCGAAGACGTTTGTAGGTTGATTGGTTGGTTGAAATATGAAGATTGAGAACCTGACCGCAAACGGCCGCACCTAGAAAGAAGACTCATTGTGTTCCCCCGTGTATTCCTACAAGGCGTTTGCAAATAGCTCACTCGATTTTATAATTTTTTTTATATTTTTACAAACTATGCGAGCCCAGTCCGAAATAACAACATCGTCAATGAGAGTCTTTACCAAGCTTATCGAGTTCATATCTCGTCTCCGTCCATACTACTATTCACGCCGCCCCACTATAATTGCATGCCTTCGTTGGAAGAGTTCCAAGAACCGCTGAGGAGATTATCGGGCGAGCTTCTCCTCCAATTTGTTGTATGGGTCGGCATATTTTACCAACAAATGAAGGGACCAACAGCTTTTCTATACTCAGAGCGCTTGACCTTGGCTGTCGAAGTGAAACAACAACAGCAAAAAATTAATCTTTGAATGTTGGTCGAACCAAAACTCGAACCCTGGTCTTCTGCATATTAGTACGCATTGCTAACCACTCCGCGATTGCGTAGACGTTTATTTTACATAATTTTTTTATTACCGTTACGTGCATGTTGTTTGGAAAAGTATGAAATATTCTTTTGTTATTGTTGTTCGGCTTGCATATGTATTTTTATGCCACATAAATATATATTCATTACTAATTTGTTTAATACTTTATAATTCTGCACGGCTATTCTTCTTTCAGCTCCCGAAGTGCTCGGTCCCGAGAAGTATGACAAAAGCTGTGACATTTGGTCGCTCGGTGTCATCATGTACATACTGCTCTGCGGTTTCCCACCATTCTACAGCAACAATGGTCTCGCCATCTCGCCTGGAATGAAGAAACGCATACGCACCGGTCAATATGATTTTCCCAATCCGGAGTGGGCCAATGTGAGTCAAGCAGCGAAGGATTTAATCAAAGGCATGCTCAATGTGGATCCCACCAAACGTTTGACAATCGATCAAGTAATTAGAAATAAATGGATTGCGCAATACACACAAGTGCCACAGACACCGCTATGCACCGGCCGTATGCTGAAGGAGGGCGAGGAGACATGGCCGGAGGTGCAAGAGGAAATGACACGTTCATTGGCGACAATGCGTGTGGACTACGATCAGGTGAGCGAAAAAGTAAATGCACATTATGCGTGACCACTAATGGAAGGTTGGACTTCATTTATTTTTTTAATTCTTCTTTTCTTACTCCTTTTTTGCCTTTCAATCTACGAACATAATAGATGCACGTTAAAGCGCTAGACAAATCCAATAATGCATTGCTGACGAAACGGCGAAAAAAGTTCGAGGAGGAATTGGCGGCACAAAATAAAAAGTAAATACAATTTTACTTAGAAAAAAAAACAAACAAACAAACAGAGAAAAAAAAATAAGAAAAATTAAATTGATTTCAAAAAAAAAAACAACTTAATATATATAAATGTATGTATGTATGTAAACAATAAATTTTTATAAATTGTTGCACTCAAGTACATAAGGATTTCTGGCCTACAGACGCGTACGTAAGGAGTGAAGTGTGAAGGAGGAGCAAGCACACATATGTACATACATACTACATACAGGCGGAGATGTTACTGGAGCTGTTGGTGCATGCTAAGCTTGCGCAACGATCAGTGGAGATTTTGGACAAGTTTTATTTTCGCCAAATTTTTGTTTTAACTTTTCGTCAAATAACGTTAAGCGTTGTTGTTGGTAAATTGTGTCATTTTTATTTTTTTTTTTATTTTTACATGAATACAATTAACTAATATTTACAAAAATACAAAAGTGCATAGATATATATATATATATATATATACATAAATACGTATACAAACATTAAAAATATATACTATATAAAAAATATATAATATAACACGAAAGTGCTCTTTTTTCCTTTACTATGTAAAAGCTTAATTTTGTAGGTTAGGAGACACGCGTTGATTGCTTACAGCAAACGCTAATTAATTATAATTAATACTTACATACATAAATATGTTAAATGCATGAAATTGCAGGCGTGCATATAATGCATACATACATATGTACATTTTAAATAAAGAATATTTGCTGTACAATACAATATTCAATACGTACACACGAAGACAAGTGCAAAGCACATTCCAAAATAAACAGATGTCTTTGAAAAAAGGAGCATAAAATATGTTTTGAAAAATAAAGTAAAAAAAAAAAATTTCAAATTGTATAAGAAACGGGTTTTTCATGTACTTTCTACTTACTTTTGCATATGGAAAAATAATTTCTGTCTACTTTGGAAGTACTTTGGCTCTTAGACAAGATCTGTTAAGCAAAAAAAACAACAAAAACACACTAAACTGCTTCAATAAATAACAAATAAAATCGTAATAAAACTCAATAAACACTTTGAAAAATTAAATAGGCAGAAGGACATAGTACATACATGTTTACGTGTATGTATGTATATCAACAACTTCTGCGCACAATAAGATTTCGTTATTGTTGGTGCATTTGAATCTTATGAGCTTTTATATGCAAATATATAGACCTAACAGCAACATAACTACTATTAGATATATTTATATATATATTTATATGTGTATATATATATATGATATAATTTAAACACACATATACACACTTAAATAAATAAATAATCAGCATCGAACATTGTAACAGTTTTGTAGTTACGTACATACCACATACATACATATATATGTATACTTACTAACTCTGCATGTATGTAAGCAGTTAAATGTTTGTACACTTGAAAAATAACTAAAAAAAAAACAATAATAATAATTGTTAACTGAAAATTTTGTTAATTCACTGGCAACACGTTCAATTACTATGAGAGTCTTACAAACAAAGTAACGAATAAAAATGTTGAGATAATAATTTATATGAAGAATAGTTTTTATGCATAAAAAATAAATTAATAAATGTATGTATGTATGAAAAAAATATATAGGTTGAGCATATTTAATGTAGAGTATGTATTAAAAAAGAAAAAAGCGAAAAACATTAATAAATTATTGATTTAATTTTTATAAAGACTTTCAAAAATAAATGATAAAAAATCTGAAATTAAGGTAAGTTGCCTTTTGCGTAAACACACTGGACGCGAAGGAGAAAATGTTTTCCGAAACCCTAATTGTTTTTAGTAAAGTAGCGGCGTATGAGCAATATTTCGCTTGGAAACATCCAGTTTCCAAATAAAAATATTGTGTTATTGCTGTTTTTTTTGTTGTTGTTGCAGCGGTTCGCTAATACCTCTTAGGTGCAGGTATGATCAATCTAAGTCATCGAGGTCATGTAATGGGAGGCCCAGAAAGCAAGCTATTTCATCGGGTTCGGACCAGAGCGTCAGTGGGATTAGATGTACGGAGATTTATTGCATCGACATATGTGTCGAGATCAAGCCTGCAGAGGTAGGAGTTTAGTCTACCAGAATATCTAAATCTAAGTTATGCCAGTAATTAAGCTGGACACTCGATTCAGCTCGAGTTCTCCGTCTGCAATAAATGGTGGTTTGACTCTGAGCATGCCATTCACTGGAAGCGAGTTCCGAAAGGTGTTGCCGGACGCTCGAATTTTGGCAGGTTAATTCATTTAAGTCACCGAGATCATCTAACGCGAGGTCCATTAAACGTGCTGTTTCGACGGGATTGAGCCAGTGGGAGAGAGGATTAGATGTGTCGGCTTAAGGGAGCATGTGAAGAGGTGATTAGTGTCGTGCGGATACTATCCACTTGCAGGCCATACGTTAGGTATGTTGGAGTCGAGTCTGGATAGGTTGGAGTTCTACCTGCCACAGTATACATACCTAAGTTCTACGCACCGGAGTTGAACCGGATTTTATTTGGCGAAGTGCTGTCACCTGGTATGCAACTGGTGTTGTAGCAAAGTACTTTTTGGTGTATATTGCGGGAGTGACAGTCCGCCGGATAAAAATCCGGGTCGTTCCGGTATAAAGACCCGACTGTCGCGGGAAATATTGGGTATGTATCTGGTATTTCTCGGCGATTAATTTTGAAGGTAACGCCACAACATCGCTACGCAACAGAGTATGTACGTATATGTATTGCCTCAATAGCATTCTCAGGTGAACAGACACTGCCAATTACTTCAAATTTTTTGTTTTTAATTTGTATAAATTTTTATTGATTATATATATAATAAATATATACATTTTTATAGCATTATATATAGTTTATATACTACCTTATACTTTATTATTTACAGTTATTATTTTTAAGAACTTTATTACATTTAATTTAAAGCGCAAATAATAGTTCAAAATTAAAATAAGATAATAAATTTGACAATTTACAGTTAAACATGTGATATTAAGGCAAATCATGTCGAGTAATACGAAAACAGTTCGTTATCGAAATTACTGTAAGAATAACGAGTTTCTGATTTCTGAACACTGATACTGAAAATTAATAATAGTATGTTCAAAGTTGGTACTTCCAAAAACGATTAAGAATTAAATTAATAATTTTGTAATTTATAACCGAAAGTTTTAAAAACTTTAAAATAACAATATTTTCAGCCTTGACTCAGTGTACCAGTTGTGATGTTAAAAATTTGTAAAAAAAAATAAAGGGTACTGCCAGTGTAGGTATACAAATGCGTTACATTTTGAGCTTTTAAATCACAATTTGTTTACGCTTCCTTTCATATAGTATTTTATCCTTTCTTGGCATGCTTCATTTTTTTGCTCTTCTTCATCACTAAGCAGGGGTACGTATAATCTCCTATTACCACACTTGTAGGTGAGATCGGTGGCGACTTGTCTTTATCAATTTTAACGAATATTTTTGGTGAATCGACATTTTTATTAGTCATAAGATTCTTTTCCATTTCTTTCGATTTATGTTGATCGTTATTTATGGTCTCTTCTTTCATATTAAGCTCTTTACTTTTATTTTCTTCGATTTGGTCCTGAACAATTACGGCATGTGGTTTCAGCTTCCAATGCATTTCAGCTTCTAGTTGCAGATGTGACGGATCTCCACTAAACATTTCGAATCCCAATTCCATGTTGTTAAGATCACAGCCTGGACCAACAGATTGCATCTCTATGCCACCATAATAGAGTTCACCAGCATTTACATAAACTGGCTTGTCCAAAAAGAACACCGCCTGCATCCAATGAGTGCGCCATACACAAGGATCCGTACTTAAACCCATTGGTGTATGTGATTTTGTGAAAAATACCTGGAAGTATGTAGTGATGCCATCCACATATCCACTGCGACGCATTTCCAACATATATTTACAGCGGAATTTCAAATCTTCCTTCGTTGCAGTATGCATGTTGAGGTATTTTATACCGAATTGTGTGCTTAACAGCTGTAAAAGTATATAGACATGCATATGTGATTTTAATAGAAATTTTTATAACATTAATATATGTATGTACATATGTATAATGACATCACTTACTTGTTTCGGTTGCACTAACTGAAAGCTTGGTTCGGATAACGCGAAATCACGCATACATTTCATATTAATGCCATACACATCGTTCCACCATTCTACGCGATCATTCTTACTCTTACTATCCTCAATAGCAGCCATGAATAGCTTTGCCACATCAGGCAATATAATACCATTCTCCTTTTTCAGCCACTTGTCACGCGCATAGATAACTAAATTGCATGCCGCTTGGAATAGCATAGAATATCCCAACCAATTACAAATAATAATGTCTACATTCTTAACTGGTAGCTCGATTTTTTCTATAGAACCCTTTATCACATGTATAACATCAGCATAACCATTATCGCTAACTATTTGTTTTGTATAATCCAACACATTGGAAGAGTCCACTGCGTACACTTGAGCTGCACCTGCTTTAGCAGCAAACAAGGATAATATACCCACACCACAACCTATGTCCAAAACTGTGCGACCACGAAACAAGTGTTTATTATGCATTATTGCTGCTTGGAAGAAGTTAATACAACTGATATCTTTCAGATGCTCAGCAATTATTTCCACATGTGCATTAGTATCTGTTTGGAAATCCCGAGAGGTCATGGTGTAAACAGATTCTGCTGATAGATGGCCAAACTTAGGAGATCGACACATCTTTTGCTGCTTCGGTGTCTTCGTTACGGCCTTCGGAGGAGTAGACAACTGAACTGGTTTACGTGCAGATCCTCGTCGTGTCATTGCAAACAAATGAAAATTTCTTCAAAAATATATGTATTAATTTGAATTAATGTATTCACAAGAGATTTTTAACGGAACTCAAGTTTTGGCGCAGAAAGTATTTAAAATCAATTTGATAACAAATAACAGCTGTTGAGCGAAAATCGTTGACATCGACTTTCATTCGGAGACAGTTGTCGACTTTGCTCGAGATTCGATAATGAGGGTGTGCATTTTGTAATTCTGGTTTTCCTAATTTTTTATTTTATTTAATTCTAATATGTAATGAATTTAATATTAACATCTAGAAAAAATTCGTTTTATTTTTAAACTCTTGTATTCAGAAGTTGTCATATTATGACAGCTCAACTGTTAATTTATTGTTGCTTTTTAACAAAGAGTATACATGTAATATTCAGCCAATTAAGTATGCGTTGGTGATATATTTTTGTGGTTTGAAGCGTTTTTGGTACATTTATCATTGCCTAAAACAAGAAACATATATGAGTACTCTCCAAATATTGGGTACAATTAAACAATCGATTTTTATAACTCGGCTTATCGAAATAGTTTTATCGGAAGCTGCCATTAATGAATATCCTTCAAGCATTTCCTCTTAAAAACTAATACTTCCGAGCGTTATTCTTGTTTTATGGCATAAAGTTTCATTTATTTAAGTTGTTTCTTCTTTATTCCAAATGCTGATTTATTCAAGCCAATTGTAACACGTTGTAAACCCAAGGAATTTAGCTACGAACAAATGCCGTTTATATACATATACATACATACCTATTTAACCTATAACTTTTGTAAACCAACCTTGCATATAAACAAATTCGAAATCAATTTTACTTTTAAGTATATCATAATATTTATTAAATGTATTATTACGTCTATGAAATATAGGAAAGCAAAAAAATTTAGTTGCAAAAACTTAAAAATATTGATTAAAAACTTTTAGCTTATTAATTGTTTGCTTTGTTAAAAATATACATACATACTTATTCACTTACGAATTCGAATACATTTAATCACCTTTAGTTTTCAAGTATTTTTGTACGTACATACATACATATACGTGAACCACTCACAAAGCGTGTAGTATAAATATAAAGCACAACCAATCTAAGCTATTGTGCAGGAAAAAATGGTAGATTTTTACCATACCTACCTACATACAAGTGATTTTAAAGTACAATCACATACATATGTATGACAGTATCACGCAAAGCTCCGAAGACCCTTCTTGTTTTGTTGCATTTTGTTTTAATTATTTCCTTGTACATTCGTTAATGGTTAGGAGCGAATGAGCATTTGTTCGGGGTGGATACCTGAGCAATATGCACAGCCTTTCATTACAATAATAATTTAACAAAACAAACTATCTGAACTATTCTCTGCCTCACTATTCATCACATAATCCATAGTTGGAAGCGAGCCCCCACGACGTTGTCTGTATTGATCTTGATTTGCACGTTCGTTGAACGTAAATTCGTCTTGTGATTCTTGTTCGTGTTGTGTTTGCTCAATTTGCATGGGTTGATGGTGTGTTTGTTGTCGTTGAAGATCACTGTAACAGGTACTTATGGTTCGACTATGACTAATTTGACTACCTCTGCGACGATATTGAGGTAGAGCAGCTGAAGCACCGTGTGCTAAGGATAATGTTGTGGTAATGTTATTTTGTGTACTTGTGCCAGTAGCATTACCAGTAGAATTTCCACGCACATTTCTAGTATTATTAAGTGATGGAAAATATTTATATAAATCTAACAACTGCTTGAGAGTAAAGTCTGGTTTATATTCAACATCATTCAAGTCAATCTCGCCTGGACTTAGTGGTATCCAAAATGTAGCACCCAATCCAGCAAGGCAACCTCCCTAAGATGGAGAAAAGTAAAATTTAAATTTGGTTCATTTGCGGTTTATATATACATATATGTATATTACTCATACCTTAATGTCCGATTCGAGTTTATCACCAAACATTACACATTGTGTTGGCGCAATGCCTAAAAAATTGCATGCTGCATAGAATATCTGCGGATTTGGCTTCTCCCATGGTAGATCAGATGACACCAGCATACAATCAAAATATTGGCTCACGTGCAATTTATTAATTTTTTCCCATTGTGCGTTGGATGGTCCATTAGTTATAAGAGCCAATAAGAAATTAGCTTCGCGAGCACGACATAACATTTGAATAAAATCTGCGGATAATGCTAAATAACGATAACGTAATTGTAACCATTTTGGATAGATTTGTTCAGCCAAATGCTTGTAGCGAGGTGGTAGAGCTTCACGCCATAAATATGTCCGCCAGGAATCTAATGACGTCTGCGAGTTATCTGGACAACGGCGAAATGCCTTCAAAAAAGATTGTGTAGCAGTGTTGGCTTCTTCTTTGGATAGGCCGAACTGATTTTCCAGCACCTCACTCAACTGAAATGGAAGACAGAAGATTATTTTAAATAACGCATTAGGTGGCATTTTTTAATTCAGATAATAAAAAATAACACTTCCCGCAATTCTGCTCAGTAATTCGCAAAGTTCAAATATTTATAAACAATTAACCTGGCAACCCTATTAATTATCCTTGAAACCTCCGGAAAACGGAAACTTATTCCAAAAAATTAGCCTGTCAATTTTATTGTTTTACTTATGACAACACATACACACATACAAATGAATGTATATATGTACATATTTCGGGTACATTCCCTTACACGTACATACTACATATATATACAAATGAATTTCCTCATTCATGCACTTAGTAAGAAGAATTTCGCGATTAATAAAAGCTGTGGTTACGCGACTTCCGCAATATCATCTTTCTGCCCCTCCTGTATATCTCCTCATATATGTATATATACATATATGCAGATATATTATCACAAAAACGTTGCGCGCGTGCTTGACATTACACTCTTCACCTCTTGTTATCACCAATAAGCCAGTGGAAAATTTTCACTGATTTCACGTCTATCACCGAGCGCCCAACCCTACTCCGTTCTCCTTTCACATTTATACATATACAAACCTTCTTTACTGCTTTCAAATCGCCCGAACGTGTGGGAATCAACGTGTTGTCCAAGTCGAAGAAAAGTGCTGTGATTTTTCTTAATTTATCACCCAATAAAGCGCTATTGACGCTACTGGACGAGGTTACATATGAATTTGCAGCATTTTTTATGCTTTTATCGTTGACAATTTCACCTTCGGCCATCAGAGTAAAAACTTATTAGATATGCGAATTTTTTTTCGCTGATGTAATAAATAAATGTATATATGTATAACACACTGTATTTATTTAAGAGGAACGCAATTGCTTATTGTGATAAGGATTCGGATACGTATTTAGCACCAATTTCGCTTAACAATAATTATTAATTAAATTATTAAAACTAGGAGACCTAACAACTGCACACAAATTGCAGTTGTTGAGCAGGTAATAATTGGAACTGGAGACAAAAGCGAACAGATGATGGTTAAAAAGGCTAAGAGAGGCCATAATAAGAGAAAAATAATTATAGAAAGAAGCAGAATGCAGAAAAGTGGGAGAGAGTGGTGCCAGATTACTGTAAACAAAATGACGTTAATTTCTTCCAAACCAAATTGAAATTGTATACAGTTGTATATAATTAAAGAGCAGAGAGATTTGTACGCAAGGTAATTGGAAAACAATTAAATTAAAATCACTCATTCGCAAAGGACAGTTTAATAGCAAAAAAAAAACAACTTGCAATTTTGTTGATTTCATACTCCATTTTATTATTGCATATTTATGTTAACTTGTTTTAGTCGCAATTAGTATTAGAGTAATAAATATTTTAGAAAATTTAAATATTATAAAAACAACTTGAAAATATATGTATATGTATGACATAAATCCCTCTCTCTATAAAAAAAATTATTAAATATTACAGCGCTTAGTTCGTAATGTAATATTATAAAATACATATGTATATACATCAAACAAAATAGTTATAAATTTGCGATTTCTATGCTATTACAAATAATATGGTTAATAAAATATATATATTTTTAATATAATCAAGTAGAATGTAAGCAAATTTTAGGAGATAAAATCATAGGAAATACAAACAAGTAGCATTTCATTATTTCACAATGAAATTAAATGCTTAATTGTTCACAAATATTTTTCAAATTAAATTGTGAACCGTTACAAAACTTACACGTCCACCATATAAACAACTTGAGCAGTATAAAACGTAAAAATCTCTAATTCTATTTTCTATTTTTTTCAGCTAAGTTTCTCATATGGGCAAAATTTACCAGAATGTCAAAGCTGTAAATGATCGAAAGTGACTAAAAAGTTATGTTATTTACACCGCGCAGGATTCCTTCCAATTCTCATTTGCCCAGTCGGGTAATTCTGTTTCATACTCCCAGCCAGATCCTCTATATTTCCATGCATGTAAGTACATAATTAAATCTTTTGGTTTCGGATCTTTAAAACGCACTTTGCACTCATAGCAATGTTCATCAAAAGTTGTTTTTTGTTTATTGTAATTAGTATCGGGTGGTTCGTGGCCAGTTTGAGTACCAACTGTTACTGTTTTGGGTTGTTCTTCATTTTTTCCTTCGTCAGCTTCTGGATTTTTCTGAGTTGCAGCCACAGGTATTGGAACCGCATTGCTAAGGGTTTCACCACTTTTATCCGCATTATCCATACACCTGACTTTCGGCAAATTTAATCCTTCGCTACCAAAATCTCCATCAACCCCTAACCAATTTTCGGCATTGTGAACATGAATCAAATCTTTAACCAACTCCTCATCGGTTCGACCCCCAATATCACCACCACGGCCTTTGAGCGGTCCAAACACTTCATGATTGTAAAGTGGATCATTAACTATCGGATATCCTAAATATTGTAAATGAACACGAATTTGATGCATTCGTCCTGTTAATGGCTTGCATAATATAACACTAGTGGTACCATTGTAACTTATTTTTTCAAATGTTGTAGAGCAATCTTTGCCTTTTGGTGAAACTTTACATACTCCTATCTTATAGCTGACTACTTCAATAGGTTCTTTGCACTCAATAATATTTTCGGGGAAATTTCCTTCTACACGACAAACATATTCCTTCTGAACTTCTCTATTTCTTATTTGTTGTTCTAACAAACGCGCTTTTTTAACTGTACGTCCGAAGAGTAATAAACCAGACGTCAGCCGATCCAAACGATGTATAGTACGTAAATTTTTCAAATTATATTCCTTAGCCAAAATAAAGACTACAGTATTATGCCGATATCTACCGCAAGGGTGAACCGGAATCGATGCTGGTTTGTTTATTACAACTATATCTTCGTCCATGTGTACTATGGTGATAGGTTGAGCTGTTACTGGCACTTCATGTCGATGGACTGTGTTTGACAACAAGTCGTTGTGCTTTAATTTATAATCCACAGGAACGCATTCGTAATTAACTTTTAGTGATCCAGTCAATATGCTGCGCTTATACTCCTCCGGTGGATGTGCGCGAAACTCGCGTGAGAAAACATCCAATATTTTCTCATCCACCCAACGTCCTTTAGTAAAAGTTGTAAATGTGAAATAGTATGGATATACTTTACGTAAGCCGTTTTCAAAGTAATATGATGTCTCCTCATATCTATCATCAGAGAATCCAGGGCGTTTAGCTTTCAACGCTTTCGTTTCCAGTCTGGCCTTTTTCAAGGCCTCTACTTGTTCTACATTCTCTGCTTTTCTCTTCTCTGGAAGTATGACTTTGGATTCATGATTGTTAACCGCTGCGACATGATTGTTGCGAACAGGCACTACATTCGGATCAACGTTATAAAACCACGTGCATGTTAGGGGTTCCGCACTGGTTAAAGGCTGGTATAATGAGTTTTTCAAAAGCACAATGTTTTCTTCATCTACTGTCGCGTTTCCATGTTGCGTCTGTGCATGTCGTGGCATTCTAAGTAAAACTTGATTTTGGAAACCTGGTAACATTCGGTAAAACGTACCAAATTTCATAAAATTCATTAAAAATATTTATTTAATACACCACGCACGACCAACGATTTGCAACGAAGGGAGAACACAAAACAGATTACCAGAAATAGATTTGTAAACAACCTGGGATAATAGTATTGCGCCGAAGTTAAATTGAATTGCAACGGCGTTGAAAACTGACTGCCGTATATAAGCTGACATTAGAAATGTCAATGTGATTCTAACTGTTGTATATTTTTAGTTGATAAAAACTGAAAAGATATGAAATTATGGTTCTAAATTGAGGTTATTTATTATCAAAAATAGAAGGTAGCCTTATTTTTGAACCTAGTGAATTTTTGAATTCAATAACAAAATAATTTATAGTATTATCTAACTTTAACAACTTATCAAGAAATATTTAAATGTTAAAACTACTTGATAAAATTTAAAAGAAATCAGTAGAAAATCTGGAAGCCATTCAAATGCAGGAAACTCTAAGTTGCAGAGTTTTTGCACTCTGAGTGCGCCATTTGATTTACATTTAGAGCTCTCGCGACTCTGAAATAATTAGGACTTAGATGCTATTACAGTCTAAACTTATGTAAAATCAATTTAAAAAAAAAATCCCATAAAATTTTGTCCGAATTATATAACTGTCAGATTTTGAAGACACTGAAACAAAGCGGCGTGACGTCATATACATATAGATTAAAATTTTTCATTCTTCGTTTGCGTGATCTGATTTTGACATGTTCTTGTTTGACATTTGTATGTATCTGACATCGCATTTCCCACAAATTCGCATTATTTATTTCTAGTATTTTGTTTTAGAATGTCGAACTCAAACCGAAATCGTACGCTTTTGAAAGGTTTGTTGTAAATTAAATAAAGTTATAACATGAAATCATTTAATTGAATTTTGCAGGTTCTATGATAAAGGAAGACTCACCAGAGGATGGTTTGTATTCGCTGGAGAAACTGCGTACTTCCCCTGAATTATGGCCTGAAAAAAGTGAGTTTCATTCGTTATGTATAAAAAGTGATACCGAAAATATATAATAACAAACATGCTTTTACGTTCTATTAAATTTTGGGAATACAAAGTTTTCACGAAACTTACTTATTATACTAAAAAAATAGATTTCCGCACAAGTCACTATTTAAGTAAAAATGAGATTTTTTAACTCAAAAATCACTTCGAAATTTGTTACTAGAGCTTGCAAAGATTCATTGCACACTTACTATAAATATCTTAATTTTCATTTATATTTGACATTTTTCCTTCCAATGACCAATTTATTTCATTTTGCCTATTTCGCCTCCTTTATTCACTAAGAAATATTTGTATTATTATTTATTTTGCGGCATTTTACACGAAATGAAATTAAACAGAAAAATAAACATATACATATGTCAAAAATTTTGAAGTTTGAATTTTGTTGACTTTGCAGTTCCAGGTATAAGTAATTTCATCGCAATGAGTGACACCCCCATACGGACACCAGTACCTCAGTGGTCGAAAGACCTCTCGCAGGAAGACATAAATGCTATGATACGTAAGTTGTAAATTTAATCTCAAAAGATTTTTGCTAATTGATTTGATATTTTTCAGAGCTAAGCAATATGCCGTTTAGTAGTCTGATTATGGAGATAAAGAAAATGTACGATGAAGCATATCAGTTAGGTGTTTCCGAGGCCAAAGAAATGACACGTGGCAAATATTTGGGAATTTTCAATAATGCAAAAAAGAAATCTATATGATATAAAAATTTCACTTAATTTTAGTTTGATTCAAATATTTGCAATCGTTTTAAAAATAATAGATTTATACAAAATAGTTTTTATAGTGACAACACTACTAGACTTTTACGAGTACAAATGCATTATTATTAGCAAAAAAAAAAAAATACGAATATGAATGGCTTGTACAATTTTAATAAAAAATTAATGCTTTGAAAACAATCACTCAATGTTTTTTTTGTATCTACGTGGTCAATAGTCAAATAAAATGCAAGCAAGCTTTGAATCTTGAACAGCAGCGCCTGCGCGTAAATACGCAGGGTATTCAAATAAGAGGATGTATCACTAAAATTTGAACTATCTCAAATTATCTCAATAAAATTTTTAGAAAAAATAAATAAAATAAGAAGATTTTTGTTTAAACTTTTCTCTCTATGTACATAAATTATTTGAAAACTAAATATATAGTGTTCTGTTCCTTAACATAGCAGTTACCGCAAATTTCGTTTAGGTTTTTCCTGCACCCTATATCCCCATTGAGGTCTTCTTCTTGGACACACTCAGTTAAATGTGACTATCGATTGCATTTTGCATTTCGTTAGCATCCAGTTTTGTTTACCAGCAGTTAACGCACGCAAACGAATCGCGCAGCAGCCGACACCAACAGTTAAAAAAAATTTATATATATTAAATACAATTGTATTTAGTTGCAACAGCTTTTAGATTACTTTTAAATGAGTTAACAACCAATAACCAATCACAAATGTGTGTTTTAAAGGAAAAATAACAAAATCCAATACTTTTCCCGAAATAAATTCAATAAAAATAAATATTATCCACTTAGTATTCCAAAATTAGCAGCCCGTTGGTGCATCTTACTCACACACAAACGCAGCAATTTCTTCCCATTCAATCGTGCGACCTTGCCCCAGTTCATATCAGTGTTGGTCAAACGTTCAACCAACCCCTCTATATAGCAAGAGCCAACGAACTGAATATACAAACAAACAAAGAAACGTACATACATACATACATACGTATTTATATATAGCCACACTGCTATATATTGCCATGGTTGAGGAAGGCGGCTGCCTCAGACAAACAGGCGCTTCACTGTCGACCAGTATGGTGTCCAACGCTGGCTCAATCAACAATGTCAAGGGCGCTAAATATGTATGGTCAGATCGTGAATTGCTTATGCACTTACAAAATTATACACCACTAATATTACTTATTGACTTTGTGGAGAAGACACGTACTAAACGCTTTTATGAAGCGGGTGAACGCTATGAAATACTAATGCTTATCTTTATTATGCGAAAGGGTGCACCGTTTTGTGAGAATAAACGTTTTCCAGAGGAGTATTGGGTGAATCTATCTGTGGGTCCCATTGCTGAGGCATTTGATCGCCTATCGGCAGCCATTGATATACCAGATCCCCAATTACCCATACATATGACTGTTACTGATTTGACAAGTTGGAAGCAACAGTTCGATGCCGCTATATTGGATATACGTCGATTTGCTTACTATACGGAGCCACAGCAATTAGCTGAGGTGGGTGTTTACAATCGTACTACGTTTGAGGAACGCTTCGGTTTGCATTGGCGCGTTGAGTAGAGTTAAAGATGGACTCTTGTTGAGGTTGTTGTTTCACAAGCATCAAGTGGTGGTACGCTGTTGAATTGTTTTTAATTGTTATTTCCGCTGTGTGCTTTACTTCGTCGATTTTAGCGCTTATATTGGTCACTTTTACTTCCGCTTCCGTTATGGCAGAAAAAGAAGGCAAAACGAATTTTGAAAACGAGAGTGTGAGAAAAAAAACGAAACTGTGCCTTTATACTTGCAAATTGAACAATTCACTGATAGAAGGGGAATCTATAAGAATGTTTGTATGTATGTGAAAAAAGAAATGAAAATATTAAAAAAAAAATATGTATATAAATATATACAAACCAGCACACGTTATTGAAATGATCAGTAAATCTTGAGGACTAATTAAAGGAATTTACATATGTATGTACGTGCATACATATATATATATTGTAAGATGGTACATCTAAACAGAAATTGTGACTTCCGTTCAAACAATCAACTTGAATTTAAAAAAAAGAAATATGTATTTATGTATGCCTAAGGAAATTTGAACGAAAAATAATATTTTAATTATAAATACATGATTATGTAGTAATTTGAAATATGAATATGTATATATATATATGTATAATAAATAACAGTATTCAAACCAAAAATATCGAGATCTAAAAATTAAAAACTTTTTTCACCTTTATTTTACATAACCATTAAAACTACCGAAAAAAAGCAGGAACACAATCAAATTTACTGGTAATATTTTAGGAAAACCCAACTACTTCTTCAAAAATTATCCTTTTTCGGAATCTCAACTTTTTACAGTTGCCGTTGAATAGTGATGTAGGTAAAAGAAAATAAAAAGATTGTCTTGGATTAGTTCGAAAACTGACTTAAAACCAAAAAAAATTACCATTTCCCACGGACAAGGACTAAAATCTAGCATTAGCAACACCACGTAATATAGTTAGATATGTACAGCAATATTTTCGTGCATTTATTTTAAAATATCCACATACATACATATATTAATTAACATATTAAAGAATAATAAACCTGATACTTAGAATGCTAGCTAAATAATTGTAGTTGCTTATAAATTATGTAAAATCAAGTTAAATGCAAAAATAAACTAAATTCACAATCTACATACATACATTGCAAGGCAAATGTCCAACATACTCGTAATACCTTACAAGTTTAAAATGTGTGCAGTGCCTTCGTCAAACAACACTTTATGATTCGTTTTTATAAATCGACGCATGCCTCGCAACATATAATGTAGTTCGGGTTTGGCCAATACTCGCACTAAAACTTCTAAAAATTCTTCAAATTTATCCTGTCGGCTATATGCCATTAGAGCTGTTGTAAAAGCACTGAAATCGTCGGTTGACAAAGAACTGCGTAGCTACGAACGTAAAGAAAGATAAGATAAATAACACAAATTGTACAGATTTCCTTTTTTAAAACTTAAATAAGCCAACTCACCACACGTAGGAACTCCACACGTTCCTGTGGCGCTTCTTTTTCAGCAAACACTGTTGGCGAATCAATGGATAATTTCGTTTTCGCTCTGAAACTGTATTCATCCAGGACGGAGGGCGTGCTGTTACTTGGCGAGTTTGAAAGTGATGTATCTGTTACCAATTTGTAACGTTTTTTCTTGTTATTAGCAAGAGAGTTGTTGCTACTACTCGGGCTATTAGTTGGTGAAGTTCGCTCACGTTTATGTATACTAACTAGTCCACTTCTCGAAGAATTACTACAACTAGCGCTATTGAAATCTATGGACTGAATGGTATTTATGCATAAACATGTATGTTTACATAATTATTTATATATCTATGTTGTCTGACCTTAACATTTGTATCCAGACGGCTCATAAAATCCATAGCGTTTGGCACTTTACTACTAAGTGTCCGACCTGCCGCCGCTTTATAATCATCTGGTGTCCAACTTTCAATAGAATTCGTTTTTTCAACTTTCCTGTTTGAATATTAAGATTAATGTTTCAGAATTTAAAAAAAAATTAAATTTGTTAGAAAAATGTGACAAAAATTAGTCTTACATGGCCATTGATTGTGCTGTTGTATATTTAGTTTTAGCTTCAAGCATTAATTTTGGATCTGTAAAGTAGCGACTTGTCACAATACCAGCTTCTTCACATGTTTCGCTTACCAACGTTTCGATGCTACGCTCTTTGGGTTTTGGCAGCTATGCAAGGAAATTTTACAAAATTTTACTCATTTCAATAACATACATAAATATAATATAATGTAATTTACAGTTTTGTCGGCATTCCGAAAGAATTCGCGTAATTCTCGTACAATAGAACCAAAGGGAACACTTTTTGGTGCCGTTCCCAAATGCCCACGAATCCATTTCGACAATTGTGATACCTGATTGGGCTGTGCAAAGCGTACATCGCACAACAATATCGCGCCGTAATCATGTCTATGACGAATGACACGTCCTATAGCCTGATTAACAGCACGTGTCGCCTCCAGACTATACCAAGCTTGCCCGGTCAGTAACTGAAACAATTTTAAAATTAGTGTGTACACCTTATAGAAAAAAGGATCATAGAACCATACTTCATTCTCTTTAGTGCGATTATCTTCCAAGTAACGTTTTTTTAAAATAACTTTTGGATCTTTTAATGGTGGAAATGGTAAACCTGTTATAATTACAGCACGACCATTGCGATCGGCAAAATCGAGACCTTCGGACACTTTACCACGGCATACCGCCATGAACACAGCACCCTTTGTGTCTCGTATGCTTTTGTAGAACTCCTCCATTGTTGTAGTGAAACTCTCTTTACTTCGTGGTTCTACATAAATCGGCTTATGGCGACTCACTTCTGCCCAAAGACCGCTGGCCTGCCAAGCGTCTACACACTGATTGAGTAGTGGATAGGAGGGAAAAAAAACGAGTAAACCATCTGGCACAATACGAGAAACATTAAGAACCGTTTGACCCAAAGAGCTGAGATACTTTGGATTATCTCTGCAAAATTAATTTAAATAATTTTTATTTTCTTGATATATGTATGTAATTGTAATTAGTTTCTGTCAATTGCTATATTCTTACCGATTGGCGAAATTTGAAATGAGCTGCTCGCGATCTGGACCAGTGCCGATGATTTTCACAAAAACTTGCGATTGATTGACGATATGCGGGTTTTCAAGACTTTGTGCAATTGGCACTGCTAATTCGGCAATTAGTGGCTTCAAAGGCGCTAAGGTACCACTTGTCAGAATTATACTGCGTACTTGTGTATTTAAAAGTTGTTCCATGCTATAAACAAAATTTCAGGAAAATAAAATATATGTAAATATGAATTAACTATTACAATAAACTTTCTTATCAACTGTAAGCATACCCAAAACCTGGATTAAAGCACCAGTAATTAATAATTTTGGGCAATTTTGTAGAAACATGATTGCTATTTGAAGACTTGGAGAGCCAGCCATCTTTGCTAGAGTTCTTTGTTTGTTGTTTCACTTCTTCAATTTGTACATGTACCTTGAAACTTCTATGAACTTTTGATATAAGGTCCTCCTTCTTCACGAATACCACACTCAAAAGATTTGATAAAACATCAAAGCTACCACCTTTACGAAATGCACTATCTTGAGTCTGCACAGTCAAGAATGTAACAAGCCGTTCCAACAAATTTATTGTCGCATTCGCTAGAGCTGGTGTTATCTGCATATAAGTCATTATTTTCCGATTAAATATGTGTAACCAGTTTTTAATTCAAACTATTACCTTCGCGCCAGCTAGTAAGTCAAACATAAACGATGGCGGAAATGTTACTCCTTCTGCTTTATTTTCTACCACAATGTCATCGATACCTTTTTCCAAATCCAACAGCATTTCTTTCAGCGCTACAAGATCTTCCAATTTAAAATCTTTTGGCTCATCACTACTCATAAAATCCAAGGAATTTTCATTCATCATTGCTTTCATTACATGCGTCAAATCATCGATTGCTAAAGCAATATCGGATGATCGTATTTGCACCGATGCACTCTCTTCGCAGATTTTCTCAATATTATGCGCCTCATCCAGTATGACAATGGTGTTATTCAAATCGACCTTATTTGCTTTACGTGCTTTTGGATCTAAGAGATAGTTATAAGGCATAAATGTTATGTCTGCATCGCCAGTCAGCTCTTTAGACACAAAATACGGACACACTTTCAGTTTCTGGCCTACTTTTACCAAATCTTCAATGTCCATTACCGGTTGCTCTTTTAATTCTGGACTATCTTTTTTTGACTCAACGCGATTGTAGAATGTGCATGTGCGTGTTTGTATGCGTAGTTTACAAAGTTGTACTTTGTTTGAATTACCCTGTTCCCTCATTACTTCGGGGTGAATGCATAGTTGATCGCGTGAACCTAAGACAACTGCACGCATAAAGGAATATGAAGTGCGTTTTAATTCTTGCATAGCTTGGGTTAATTGAGAATGTGTTCGTGAAGCGTATATAATTTTCGGTACTCCCCAGTTAGCATTCCTCGTTTGCATTGTGTTGAGCTCATTAATGACTTGTTGAGCTTGGACGCCACCTTTCGCATGCATTTGAACCATCGATTTCATATCCGCTTTGCGAGACAGCAGCCAAGCTAGTGATGAGCACAGAAGACTCAATGTTTTGCCTGTACCTGTTGGAGACTCCAATACACCGTTTGTGCCATCACGAAGGCAATTGATTACTTTTTCCATATATGCTTTTTGCACATCGTAGGGCTCAAATGGAAAATGCACAGGTATGCCTGATATCACATATTCCGGCATTGTAAAATCTTGATATTAAAATTTTAATTATGATTTATTAGCTTTAATCAATTAATTTTAGTACGTCTCCGTTTTAATTTCACTCCGCACACATTTTTTTTATTTATAAATGCCGCCAAATAACACCAATCAGCTGATTTTGACAATTCTTGCAATTTTTTCCTCCGGGAAGCGCCTTCTCAATCAAGCAACACTAAAATTTTGACAGTTAATTAGGTTGAAAGAACAGAAGCGAAACATAAACAAATCACAAAACGCGCCCAAAGTGTGTTTGACTAATTGTATTTCTTTTAATTTAGGAAAAAGAAAAATTGTGTAGAATGGCTAAGTCTAATAAAATGTTCGCTGATAAAGCATTTGAGCTTATAAAGGAATTGGAGCGTTCTTCACAAACTATACCACCATTCGATGTAAGTACAAACAACTACAGCTTCATGGGAATTTTTACGTTTACAATTGCTCAACTAATTAACTCAGGATGATGGTGTTCGCCAAGTGCTAGAAGAAATCAAGGCCATATTCGAAGAGAATTGTGCACAAGCGTATGTTACATTGATATTATATATATTTCATTTATAGACTAACTCATTTGTACCTATTAGTGCTAACTATTCAACCTCGGGTGACCGCACCTTATGGCCATTACTCAACTTCCGACATGCTGCTTTACAAAGAAATAAACGGTGCTTATTAACATATTTGTATCAACGTTTGTTGCGTATAAAAGCGCTACGTTGGGAATTTGGTCCAATTATACCAGAGGATATTAAAACTTCACTATGCGAGCCTGAAGTGAACTTCTTCAATACATATTCAAAATCTTTAGCTTCCTACATGCGCTCTATTGGCGATGGTCAGGGCATTGATTTGACAGGTGATCTGCGACCACCGAAATCATTGTATATAGAGGTACGCTGCATTGTGGATTATGGTAAATTTGAATTGGAGGATGGTGAGGTGATATATCTAAAAAAGAATAGCCAACACTATTTGCCACGCGCTCAAGTGGAAACGTTAGTGCGCCAGGGAATTTTACAACACATTACATAGTAAGGTATGGTTAATAAGAATTTGATAAATAGATAGTAAACACATAAATATATAATTACGTTGATACATGTATATATTTATGCTTTATGTAATAAATTAAATTCACATTTCTTTTTGCATGAAATTAAAAACTTTTTTTTAAAGAATTGGGATGCCGGAAGGCAGCCATTATGAGCTTTTATATATTATTGAAATTGAATTTAACGTAAATTTTAAGAGAATACGGGTTTTTTCGCACTATTGGCAAACTATTGCTGATTACTTCAATAAGTTCTTTTGAATGAATATTCTTTTTAAAATTAAGTAGCTTTTACTATGACAATACAAAGAGCAATTGCAAAGTAGTTAATAAGATGTGCAAATTAATCCAGTTGGAAGTATGGATACTACTTTTCACTTTTTGAATTCAAAACAGAGTCATCCGTTTGGTAGCTGTCAAATTGATTGCACAGTTTTGTTTTACATAGATTTTCATTGGAGAAAATTCTCCCCACCGTGTGTGCATATTTGGATATTTGGTTGTACGAATACGAGTACAAAGCACAATCGCTAATTCCTGCTATGTGTTTGAACGTGTGTTCGCGAATCGCGAATCGCGATGAGTGCGATGAGTGAGCAATAAAACGAAGCGAGTAATAAAGCAACGAAGCAATAGGAGCGACTGTGGCGACAGTGGCGACTGTCAGTGACTGTCAGCGAACGCTTGTAGTCCAGTGAAATTTTGACAGTTTGTTTCTTGCTTTTGGAAAGGAAGGTTGGTAGCACCGGTTAAAAATCGTAATCAAATCTAAATACACGGGACGGAACAAAAACAAATAGCAGTGCTCGCTCGCAGTGGTGATAAATTTGTTGTATGTAAGCAAAGCAGCAGCGCACAAAAGTGTGAAATATAGAGAGGAGAGAGAGATAGAGAGAGAGAAGTAGAAGGAAGAAAGAAAGAAGAGGCGACAGTAGCACTTTACAACAACTACACACATTGCATTTGGGGAATCGTTGGAGCTCCCGCATTGTCGCTAGTGACTGGCTGTTGGTTCTCTCATCTGCTAATCGTTATATATTGGTGTATGTGTATGTGTATGTACGAAATATCTTCGTACAATTGTTGTTGCATAGAAACAGTCGTTCCATCGCACCACACACTTTGTGCATGAATTGATTACCACTAGAACGCCTCTTTAGGAAACTGAAGATGGAGAAGCTTTATTAAGCACAGCGTATGGAGTGTAGCTGGGCAAGCAGAAGAAGGTACTGCATAGCGTTCTACTGAATTGGGATGTTTTCCACTCCGAAGGAGTTTTAAAGTAGCATAAAGTGAATTAATATAAAAATCTCGCAACGAGTAAATTTCTTTCAAATTCACGTCGATTGGAGCGAAAGGTCTGAAACACAGTAGTGACACTCACAGCGCTGGTGACGACGTCAACTGTAATGGCAGTGAGAACTGGTAAACGTCGTTTTATATATTCATACGTTATTTAAAAAAAATGCAAAGCTTGAGTAATTTTCAAAAAAAAAAAAAACTGAAAATGCTCACAACTCTTGCCGATACACCTTAGTGATAGCAATGACAGTTGGTATAGCTGTTGTTGCTGCCGCAAGTTTTATTTAAAAAATACCGTGTTGTCTGTTAAAGTTATGTAGTTATCAGTGACTGCGGCGCGATGGGTAGAATGCACACCACCCGCCCCATCAATTGAGCAATGCTTGCATTCGTTTACCCGCTTTGCACCCTTGGAGTATTCACAATTTTGTTTACAATTTTCGGCAGCACGTTACCGTTTGCATTTATGTATATCTTACGTCAAGGACGTGTATTTAATTTGTGTTTGTGTGAAATCATCTTGGCGTTTAGCTGAAAGTAAGATTTTACCAATGCCGCTAATTGCAAATTAGCCGTATTTATGTGAAGTAAAGCTTTTTCAGCATTTTACACATATTTTGAGGTGTAAACAACCCTTTAAACTAAAGATATGCGAGCGCTTGAGTTTACAGTCTATTTGGAATTTACATTTTTATCGGTGTTTGCCTTTTAATTAGACGTTTAACGATATGCCACCAATAATACAGCAAACCATTACAAGTTTTTGTATTTTTTATTATTTTTTTAGGCGATTTTCATTCTATTCCACTTTTTGTTTTTGCTTGCCAAATGTCAAAGTTTCGGTCGTTTATCTATCGGTCGTCTCGCTTTCGCGCACGTGAGAATTTCTCTCTGGCTTTCTTGGCTAAAAAGTGTTGCCGTCTTATACTGAATAAGCGGTATTGGATAAAATTGGATAATAATTTTTGAGTTTCGTAATGAACATTGATAAGACATGAGGAAAAAGGTATTAAACTGTATGTAGGCGTAAAGAAAATAAATGAAAAAATAAACTAATCAAAATAAATTGTAAAAAAAAAACTGCTCTAAGGTAAAATTATCGTGTTTTTAGACTAACTTTTATGAAATTCATTTATATAAAAACTCACGTATGAAATGAGTATTAGCATGAAGTCTTAAAATTCACTTTAAATTCTCGCGAAAACATGTGAAAATTAATAAATGTTGGATTTCTTTCGAAAATGTGATGAATTCAAGTTCCTTTTAATGGTTTTCATATAGTAAAACACCCTCAAAATATTATTCAGACAAAAAGTGTTAAGCAAAGCTGAATTATTACCGTACATATTAACGTATTTCCTATCAGTGGATGAGTCTGCCTTCCGTTTAGTTTAGAATCGGCTGATCGATTTCGATGAGAGGCTTTCTTTATCAATAGCCTACGTTTTTGAAATTAGTCTGTTTTAAATTACAAGACCCCAGTTTTTGTAAAATGAACCTCAATTGGTGCGCTTTCAATAATTTAGTGTTACTTAATATGACAACACTGTGGTGGAGCATTTTAACATCACTAATTATTCGCTCTCTCCGTTCAAAGAGTAAGAGAGAAAATTGAAAATTGTTTTTGAATTTGTGTCATAGCCAGCAACTGGCCAACAAAAAAGGTTTGCAAGAACGTCGAGATAAAAAATTCATGCTGTGCTAATATTAAAGATATGTATGAGTATATATTTAGGTATTGTTTGGAAAATATACTATTATACTATAATTAAAACATTCATTCATTTGCCGCAAATAAAACAAAACCTAAATGTTAACTCAGCAATAAAATAAGAGAAAAAAGTATAGGTAAACAAAACGCCAACAACTTCTACGCCTTCACCACCTTCTTCATCGTTTCGGCCGTTTAATCTCTGCTCGTCTTTCATACAATAACTTCTATACAATTTTGGTATCGCCATACCATAACTAAACTAGAGAGTTGCATGCGTTCTTTTTTATATATGCATTCACACATATGTACATACATATGTGTTTGTACGTATGTACATTTGAATGTATTTCTAACAGAATGAAAGAAAGTTCTTTGCATTATAAAGTAGTCGGTGTGGTCGATGGTGTCTGTTTGCTTTTCTATGCACATTTGTTTGATTATTTATACATTGTTTTTATATATTTATTTGCGTATTTATATCACTAAGCTATTTTTGGTAACTGTAGTAATCATTGGTGCTCCATTGAAATTTTCAAAACATTAATTCTGTTATGATATTGAAGTATGATCGGCAGCGCCATCTGTCGGAGCCGAAATGTTAAGCACTGGCACAAATTACAAGCTTATTATTAGGTTAGGGTAGGATGTGTTGTAGGGTATAATTTATGTGATGATTGATTTAAATCTGAGGAGCTAACTAACGGTTTCATATGGAGGAAATATTGTAAGTTTTATTATGTATTGCTTAAGGAATGCAATGCAAAGTAATTCATAAATTTGTAGACACTGCATGCATAAACATATACCCACATACCTATGTAAGTACATATGGACAAAATATGTATGTATATATTTAACAATGAGAAGCACTATTAGTTATTAGTATATATATTTTTTAAGTTTCCGAAGGGAAAAAAATTTCATCTATTATTTTAAAAATAACAGCAATGTAAGCTTAAAGTTTCGCCAGAAGTTAACCATTAGTATGTTCCATAGGGGCTGCGTGTGCTTAAACAGCCCATAACGATTAAAATCTATTTTTGCTGCATAAATGTGTTTTTTCGTGGCCTGAACAGCTCGAACCTTTTCCAGCCAATTGTAAAACTGATATGCCAGCTGTATTTGATAACGGCATTATTGTGATAAATAAACGCTTACTGCAGGTTAAGCTCATAACTTTTGAAACTTTGTAGGTATAACCGGGAAAATCGTATGTTTTAAAACATTCAATTTCCTTAGGTTCACAATGAGCTGATCAAATATACTAAAATTAATAGTTTTATAGATGTTCATACACACATATACATATATGTATGTATGTATCTAATTTTACAGCCAAAACTCTTTGGACTAAAGTTAGTCGGTTTCGACCAAATAAAAGTAGAACTAGAACCCAAGAATGAATGGAGTGAATACGTCACAATAACAAATGCAAACATACATCTATAAATACGTGCAAATTATATGCTAGTGTGACGTCAGCAAAGCAACAGCTAATTGTCGAACGTGTTCCATGATTGGCGCAATCTTTTTTATTTGGGCACTTATTTATTTATTTAAATAAAAATTTACAAAATGCCTCAACAATAAATTTATTTAGCAAATTTTAATGAAGAATTTTAAAATGTTCGCTTATACTTCTCTCTCTTCAAATACATTTCTCTGTTTAATCCATATTTTGTTCGCTTAATATTTCCTAAATTTCTTTTAAACTGTTTTTCAGACAAAATACTGCGTGTTTTAGTTCCCGAAATCGAATCAAATGTAAATCATCAAGTGCATTATTTTTTTAACAAGTAAAAAAAAATCGTATTTAGTCGAATCGATTAATAACCCCCCAAATAAGAGATACACTTACAACTACACAGGAGATAAATTTCATCGAAAATCAACGCCTACATTTTGAGGGTTTTTGTGGGAACACAATGACCATAATATTATTTTTGGTCGACACATCCGCGTCGATGTGCCAGAAAGCTTATGTGAATGGCGTACAAAAGTCTTATCTGGATATAGCAAAGGGAGCAGTGGAAACATTTTTGAAATACCGTCAACGAACACAAGATTGCCTAGGTGATCGTTATATGCTATTAACTTTTGAAGAACCGCCAGCAAATGTGAAGGCCGGCTGGAAGGAGAATCATGCAACATTCATGAATGAGCTGAAAAATCTTCAAAGCAATGGACTTACCTCAATGGGCGAGTCATTAAAGAATGCTTTCGATTTATTAAATTTAAATCGTATGCAATCGGGTATCGATACCTACGGTCAGGGTAGATGCCCATTTTATCTAGAACCGTCTGTAATAATTGTGATCACCGATGGTGGAAGATATTCGTATCGTAATGGCGTACATCAGGAGATCATACTGCCGCTTAATACACAAATACCCGGTACAAATTTTACCAAAGAACCCTTTCGCTGGGATCAACGACTCTTCTCATTAGTACTGCGCATGCCTGGTAATAAAGTGGATGAGCGAGTTGAGGGTAAAGTACCACATGATGATTCGCCCATAGAGCGTATGTGTGTGGTGACGGGTGGACGTTCGTATCGTGTGCGTTCACATTACGTACTGAATCAATGCATTGAAAGTTTAGTGCAGAAGGTGCAACCGGGCGTTGTGTTGCAATTTGAGCCAATGCTACCGAAAGATGGTGTGCCAAATGAAGCGCTGCAGGATATCATATTTCAACCCATGAAGAAAATGATCTACGTGCAAAAGCACATTACACAAAAGACCTTCCCCATTGGATATTGGCCACTACCCGAACCCTATTGGCCGGATCCGAAAGCAGTGTCATTGCCGCCGCGTGATGCACATCCCAAATTGAAAGTAGTTACACCCGCAGTCGACGAACCGCAAATGGTGCGTAGCTTTCCCGTTGATAAGTATGAGATCGAAGGCAGTCCGCTGACATTGCAAATATTGCAAAAGCGTGAGATGAACAAGTGTTGGCAGGTCATAATATCGAATGGTATGCATGGATTTGATTTGCCATTTGGCTATTTGAAGGCTTCACCAAATTTCACACAGGTCCATTTGTACGTATTGGCATATAATTATCCGGCTCTACTGCCGTTGCTCCATGACCTCATACACAAGTACAACATGAGTCCGCCGAATGATCTCATGTATAAATTTAATGCTTATGTACGCTCAATACCGCCATATTACTGCCCGTTTTTGCGAAAAGCATTACTAAATATTAATGTACCGTATCAGCTACTCCAGTTTTTATTGCCGGAAAATGTCGACAACTACTTGTCGCCGAACATCGCTAACCAGTTGAAGCATATCAAGAACACGGCCAAGCAAGAACAAGAAAATCTCTGTATGAAGGTGTATAAGCAGTTGAAACAGCCAAAACCGCCGTATCGACAAATTGAAACTGCTAAACTAAATCCGGGTGTACCCTTGCGACGTGACCTGGTTCGTCACCCATTGTTGAGAGAAACATTTTCCAAACTTCATGCTGAGATCGAGCCACTTGAAAATTACACTATAGTCGTACCCCAACTAACGCGTCAATCTTCGGCGAAATCGTATCGCAATCCGTTCGACATACCACGCCGTGATTTGTTGGAAGAGATTGCGCGCATGCGCGAAACTGTGCTTCGATCAACTCCAACCAGCCTTATAGCAAAAGATTCCGGTCACTGCCTGCCCATTGCTGAAATGGGTAATTATCAGGAATATCTGAAAAATAAGGATAATCCTCTGCGCGAAATTGAACCGACGAATGTGAGACAGCACATGTTCGGCAATCCCTATAAAAAGGATAAACACATGGTCATGGTGGACGAGGCAGATCTCAGTGATGTAGCGCCAATGAAATCAAATAACGGTGCTGGTGGATCACCAATGCCAGGTGTGCCTGGTGGCATTATGCCGAAGAAAATAGATACATCGAGAGCGCGCAAACGCAAAGCAGGTCCCATACGTAAGGACTACATATTTCGGCGTACTTCTACGGATGTGCGACCCAGCACACCGAGTTTGAGCATGACATCTGTGAATTCTTTGAGCTTATCTGTTTCTTCGCTATCCGACTTTGATGATGATAGCGCTTCAGAAACCGGTTCTATGTCGTCCAATATGTCCGATGATGGCGATCCGGATCGGCTCGTGGTGGCATTCGATTTCAATGAAGACGAGCCTGCTGATCCGCTAATTAATGGATATGTGCGTAATTTTATCAATGGCATTAGTGATGAAAGCAGCTGCGATTCAGATATGAGTGGTCCCCCTACAAGTCCGTTGAACTCAACGACTGGCATCAGCCTGGGAGCGATCGGCGCACCACCGTTACCGCCTGTGGTACAAATACCAGGTAATAACAATGTATTGACACCCATGTCACCGCCGGGCTCGCCACAACCCTATATTAATAATTATGGTCAGCCAATTATGGCGTCTGCAGATATGTCACCTGCCACTGTTAGCGCCGTAGTAACACCAAATATGATGGCCAATATCAACCCAACAATAACATCGAATGCATTCCCGTCACCACTTCAGATGAACGGCAACGTCGCGCTCAGTATTCAAACTGCGACATCTCCGCTAGCATCGCCCATGCCCATAGCTCCGCCAACGGCATCCGCCACTCTGTCCCAAACACCTGCCTATCAACACAACGATATTAATGATGCACAGGAGATCTCGCGTATACTACAACAATGTCACAATGGCAATTCGGCCATTTCAAATGCAAACACCGCGACGAATCTTGATAATATAGCAGTCACAGTTGGCCAAATCAAAATAGAAACAGAATCGACGTTAATGCCACCACCATCAATTGCGCCAAGCAATTCTTCTGCACCAGTGACGCTCTCTGCCAATTTCGACACTCTGAAACGCGAATCAATCACAAATAATGCGGCGAGCATAAGTAATTCTAATCATTTATCAAATCACAACAACAATTTAAGCAATAATATTGGTAATGGCGCTAGTCAGCGGAATACAGTCGTGGCCTCAGGGCCTCCACCGCTCACCGAAGAGCAGCGTGATGCAGCACGCAAACATAATCTGGAAATAAGAACGCAAGTCTTTCGCGATATACGTCGACCCGGTCGTAATTATACGCAACTCTTGGAGCATCTCAATTTGATTAAAGGTGATTTAGATATGAAATCGAATTTCATTAAAATGTGCATTAGCGAATCGATGCGTTTCCGGCGGAAGCAAATGATCAATAGCATACAGGACTGGTGGGAACAGAAGCAACAACAATTACAGGCAGCAGCAGCAACAACAACGACGACGACGACGCCGACGACGGTGGCGGCGGCGACTAGTTAACAATTACTGCTTTGGAATATCAATTGAAGCAATGATTAATGCGCCATTTACACAGGCAATCGAAAGAGTTTCTGTTACAATGTGCCCTTGAATCAAAAAAGATCATCATCGTAGACCACCGAGCCACCGGCTGATCTTATCAAATGGAACATTTAAGCCCCAAATGTGTACAAGAAGATTGTTGCATGCCAAATGGAAATGAAGTCAACCACGCATAAGTGTGTATGTGTGTTTGTGTTGTACAAATGTGTTTGTATGTACTCGGTTATAAGTGTGGAGGGCGAGTGGGTGGTGTTGCTACTGTTTTCGTTAAAGAAAATATGGTGGTTCTTCAAAAAAACAAAAAACAAAAAAAGAAAAAAAAACAAAAAAAAAAACGGAATAAAAACAAAAAAGGGTGGGCATGGAGACTACTATGTAATGCGATTCTTACTCTAGCTGTCCGTGATCGTCAAAAACAAGCTGTGTTGGTGTGCGTGTTTGTGATATTTTAAGGAAGTAACTGCAGGCCATCAAACCTGTAGTAGAGCATAAAATCATTATATGCGGCATATATTTATACCAGCCCAGTCCAGAGCACCGGCTAGATTAGAGTTGTTAGCTTTTCCACACACTTTAGGCGAAATTATTTTTTGTAGCTTACATATTTGGAATTTTTTGAAACAAACGACAGCAAGTTGTGTGCAGTTTCTTATTAAGAATTTATCATAAATCCATTGGAAATGAGCAATTTTGTTAATTAACGCTAGCATAAAGTAATTGCTGAACATCTCATAAAAGTTGTTGTAAAAAATCGTAAATATTTATCAAATTTGCAGAAAATATTAGGGCATACATTTTAAAAAAAATTTTTTTTAGCGTAATTATAGAAATTTCTAAAGTTGCTATTCATTGTTAATAACGTTTGATGTATGAGCAAAAATTACGTCATTTGCTTCATACTTTAATAAATTTTAAATAACTAATGCAATTTGTTCCCAAAATCTGATCAAATATAATATATTTATGGATATTTTTTTTTCAAATTGTTAGGATTCTTCATTCAACTATTTAGTGTTGCTATTCCAATGCGATTTCCAGTTCTGTGTACATTTTAACGATCTCTTAAGTCGACTGATTTCTTTTTTTTTTTTTTTTGCTAAAATAAAAAAAAGTGCTTTCACTAGTGATCTGATTGAGCTGCACTATTCCGATAACATACAGATTGTTTGGCACATATAAACGTATTAAGTTACCCCACCAGTGCACACTTTTTTTTCTTATTTTTTTTTTTTTTTGTAAAGTTTGGCTTTTACTGTTTTTCTTCAAAAGAAATTAAGAGTATAGGCTGATACGTTACTTGAAGACAAATTAGACGACCACGCCCACAAACCTATGGATCTAGGTATATACAAGCAAAAACAAATGGAATTTACATGTACATATAGTCAACTTGTCATTTGGGTAATTAAGATTGTCTCCATTTTCAAGCAACCACTTAAAGACAAACGTGATTTCGCTGCTTTAGTAGAATAAAAAAGTAGTTATTTTTCTGTGTTTGAAACAAATTCCTTTAATAAAACAATTAATATTCTTATTAAGTTTAAATATCGAAAACGAGTGTGAGGGGAAATTTTGCGATTTGCTCTAAAAAAAAGGATAAATTAAATCTGAAGAAATATATGAAATAAAAGTAAAATAAATAAAATAAAAATAAAATAAATAAAATAAAAATAAAATAAAAGTAAAATAAATAAAATAAAAATAAAATAAATAAAATAAAAATAAAATAAAAATAAAATAAATAAAATAAAATTAAATAAATAAAATTAAATTAAAATAAATAAAATAAAATTAAAATCAAAAATAAAATAAAAAAACAAATTAAATTAAATAAAAAAAACAAAATAAAATTAAATTAAATTAAAAAAATAAATTAATTAAAAAAAAAACAAAATTAAAAATAAAAAAATTAAATTAATAAATAAAATAAAAAAATTAAATAAACAAAAACATTAAATTAAAAAAAATTAAGGTTTAATTTTCTTAAATTATAAAATATTAAATGAAATTCAAATAAAAAATAAAATGAAATAAAAAATTACATAAAATACAAAAAATAAATAAAATAAAAAAAAATTAAATAAAATTAAAATAGATATAAGGAAGTAAAAAATATACAGAAAAAATAAATAAATAAATATAAAAAACTAAAAATAAATAAATAAATATAAAAAACTAAAAATAAATAATAAAAATAAATAAATAAACAAAAAATAAATAAACAATAAAATAATAATAAATATAAATGAATAAATAAAAAAATAATAAAAATAAATCAATAAATAAAAAAATAATAAAAATAAATCAATAAATAAAAAAATAATAAAAATAAATGAATAAATAAAAAATAATTAAACTAGATGAATAAATAAATAAATAATGAAAATAAATGAATAAATAAAAAAATAATAAAAATAAATGAATCAAAAAATAATAATTAAACTAGATGAATAAATAAATAAAAAAATAATAAAAATAAATAAATAAATAAAGAAAAAAAATAAAATAAATAAATAAAGAAAAAAATAAAAAAAATAAATAAAGAAAAAAATAAAATAAATAAATAAAGAAAAAAATAAAATAAATAAATAAAGAAAAAAATAAAATAAATAAGGAAAGAAAAGTAATAAAGAAAATAAATAAATAAATAAAAAATAAATAAATAAAAATACATNATAAAATAAAAAAAAAAATTAAAAAAATAGTTAAAAAATAGTTAAAAAAATGAATAAATAAATAAAAATAAATAAGTAAATAAAAAAATTTAAGCAATTAAAAACATTAAAATAAAGATAAATAATTAGAGTTAATAAAAAAGAATAGAATAAAAGAAACGACTTACAATTTCATTTAATTTTATTATAGTCTAATTTGTTTCATTAAATTTGATTTATAAATAAATAAATAATATTTTACAAATAATTATAGTGAGTGACTTGAATGAGTATACGCAGAAATTTTTGTTTAAACAAATAAAATCATGTACAAATACACATGTACATATGTATATGTTTGCTTTTTGCATATTCAAACAAACAAATTATATAACAATAATTATTAAACAAACAAAAAAAAAGATAGCAAACAAGTTAGTTTCAGCGATTTCATTTTCACATAATCAATTTTAATTTTTGTATTAATTGTATATACAATACAGATACATAAATACGTAATTGGTAATTTACATATGGAAAATTTTGTTCAAAAAAATATTAAAGTAACTCATTATTTAGCAGAAAACGTGAAAATGTTTCAAAATATTGATATACTTGTAGTACATACATACATTAAATAAAAACTATATAAATGCATAAATTAAATATTTAAGTAAAAATTTTGAATGTAATTTAAATATTTTATAATATATTGATTATAAAAAAAAGAAGAGTGCAAGCGATAAAAATATAAAATAAATTTGTGAGAAATTTGAAAATTGCTTAATAACTTCATATATATTCATTATCTACATACATATATGTGTATGTATGTGTTGAGAGACTTAGATTGAATTAAAACATTTCTGAATTGACTGCTTATTTTTTAATTATGTATATATTTTCAGCTTTAACACTTCCTTCAACCTCTCGACGAATGTACAAAAACATGTCGTGCAAATCGCTTTAAATGTGATTAACGATATGCTTATGTATGTATGTATGAATGCTCAAAATATCCCTGCTTCGTTGCTGTGCTAACGGAGTAAATAATTCCAATTCAATGGATTTGTCAATATGAAAGGAAAGTATTAATAACAACAACGTATATGAGTAATATACGCGAGGAATTATAATATTAATAATGTTGTTAAGGAACGCAGATTTTACACTTTTTTTTTAGTTTATTTTTCAATTTACGATTTATTCAACACTAACATTGCTACATATGTTTGAATGCGGTGCGTTTCGGTCATTTTTCATTCCACGCCTAAAAATATGCAATGTCATTTGATCAATAGAAAAATCGTCAGCAACAGTTTGCTGGCGGCAACTTTCTCCCTGTAGGAAAAATTTTACATAAACATTTGGTAAGTGAAAAATCTGAAGGAAATGCAATGTCTTTATATGTGGATTTCTCTCAGCTGGTAGTCTCTCTTCAGTTAAATGGTCGGTTTGCTTCAGTTATTGTGTGAAGTGGACTTTATAGGTGAAAGTCCAAATTCGAGATACCCCATAATGTGCCGTAAAAGAGTACCAGCTCTTGAGAAAGTCGGGTCTTCGGCTACACTTCCACTTACAGTAGCATTGGAGGTAGAACGAGCAAAACGATGATGCACGGATCTCACAATATTTGTAACCAATCCAATCTCTTCAAATTTATTTAAAGATCACAGTTACAATACACCGCTATTCACTTGAGCTGGGCGTAATGGTGAAGTAGTTTTGTTCTTTGGTTGTTGTTGTTGTTGTAACCGCAAAATTATTCCCCAAAGTACCTTTTGGGGAATGTTGCGGGAGTGACAGTCCTTGGCGGGATAAAAATCCAGGTCGTTCCGGTATAAAGACCCGACTGTCACGGGAACTATTGGATTTTAGTCGCCTCCTACGACAGGCACGCCTTACCGCGGGTAAATTCTTGAGCCCCTAACCCGCAGGGGGTTCGTTCTCTTGTTAATTGGGATCTTTGATTGGAAGTAGGTCACAGGTACTACGAATCCACTATATTACCAAAAATATCTAGGGAAAACTTTAGCTAGCGATGTAATTTCTCTACTGCTATATAGCTTTACTTTCTAAAGGCTGCTGGTCATAAAACCTTCAGCCCATTCGTGAAAAGTATGGACAGAAAAAATGCATAAGGGCTTCATACACACTACCGAAGATGCCCTCTAATTGTGGATATGCCGATATCCTTCTCTAATAGCCTAATCTTGTGACCTAGTATGTGCTTCAACACTTATACCAAGATAGAGCTATTTGGGCACCATTTTAAATGATCTACTCTCTACAGTTTCCGAGTAACAATTTGAACACAATTTAGCGAAAATTTCCCAAGGTTCAGATAACTCACATCCTGGCCGAGAGTTTCGATTCTAAATCACCGCAGTGATTTCATTGTCTCGGGTTCCTCTGGGTTAACCGGTCCATCCGATAAAATTAATTGTAGTTGCTGAACCTCCACTAAGGTACATCAGAAAGGGATTACTAGACTTAAATACGTACAAAAACCGCTGGTCACGACGGCGTAGAGACATACACTGAACGCCATTCACAAGGTGTCATTTAACACCTTCAAAGACTGCTCTTCCATGAATGGCAAACTCGGAGTTAAACCACCACCCTTAGCAGACGAAGAGCTCGAACTGCCCCGAGTCACCCGCGTAATATTGGCGCAACTTAGGGCTGGATATTGTAGCCGGTTAAACTCCTATTTATCTAGACTCGATGTGTTGGGATCCGATTTATGTACTGCATGTAATGAGTCCCTGCACGACACTAACCACCTCTTTACGTGCCCACTAAAACCAACTTATCTAAGTTCCTTTCCCTCTGGTCCGAACCCGTCGAAACAGCTCGTTTCCTGGACCTCTTGTTAGATGACCTGAGTGACTTAGACTAACTAGCCTCTACCTAAGAACAACGTCACATTGGAACAATACATGCGGAGTCAGTCGTATGCAACATACCGTACTTATTGTAGGTATTGTATGTCTTCGCTCTATAATCTCATCACAGCTATTGCGAAATTTAGGAAGCATTTGCGGCTTGCAAGCGGACATTCACGGCTTACGCAGAATTGATCTTCCACACCCTGGATGTTTAAATTAATTCGCGGTGAAGTAGCTGGCCGCGTAGGACACCAGGTGTTTTATAGTATTTTAAGAGGGCCTTGATATCCAGTTTTCAAACTTCTTCTAGTCCTCTGAACCGTGTTCTAGGTAAGATCGGATTGAAGATGCAGAAGATGTGCAGCAAAGCTATGCATGTTTTTCTAAAATTTCTTCTATCTACTTCTACTTTGCCTTACCCTGATGCCTGCAGGTTGTGGGCTCTCGTTGTCTTGCAGTCCTTTTGAGATTGTGTAAGCAAAAAAGGTATTTATATTTCTTGGCTTCCTTTGCGCACGGTCTTGACGCTGCTGCAGCCTATTATGGCACTACAAATGAACTCTGATCTGCCTTCGAGATATCTCAGTAATTTCATTGTACTGTGTCTCTAGCGTCATTTGTATTTCTCGTACAAGTCCGGTGGATGGTGGATGGATGGTACCTCATTAGCTATTACAAACGCTATACTATTCTTATTGCCTGGAACCTAGCAGATATGTATTTGCTTTCCCGCAGCCACTTTATCCTAGTGTTTTACGTCTGAAAAGTACTGTAATATTCCGCAAGTTTGAAGGGTTGCCTGAGATCAGCCATTTTTGATTCGTCCGCCTACCGAATAGTGAGGCTTGCGCTCACATAGTGAATCTTTCAGACCATTATCGAAGGCAGATTATTCTGAACCCTCTTTCCTCACGTTTTCAGCGAAGTTTGCTATACAATAAATACCCCAATATCGACTTGACCACCACTAGGTTTAATGGAACACATCTGTTTAAATTCTTCGGTTCTTTTTAGGGGGGCATCATCTACTTTTGTAAATTTGGCAGATCCGCTCTCTAATGTTGATCATAACACACTTCAGAGCCATTGAAAAACGAG